GGGGCAATCTGCTCCCAGATCTTCTTCTTCGGATTGAGCTGCGAGTCGGGATCGCCTGCAAAGAAGAAGGTGTACAATAAGATAAAGTTTTTGCTTGAAACTGAAAAAACCAAAACATACCCGGGTACTTCTCAAAGGTGACCCGATCGCCGGGCACCGCTCCCTCCGGCGGCAGGAGAATCTCCACCTTCTCGGGGGAGCTGGCGCACATGACCATGGCCTCGGAGAGGACGCCCCTCATCTTTGCCGGCTTGAGGTTGCAGAGGACGATGACCAGTCGGTTCTGCATCTGCTCAATCGGCACGTGCTTCACCAGACCGGAGACGACGGNGGCACCGCTCCCTCCGGCGGCAGGAGAATCTCCACCTTCTCGGGGGAGCTGGCGCACATGACCATGGCCTCGGAGAGGACGCCCCTCATCTTTGCCGGCTTGAGGTTGCAGAGGACGATGACCAGTCGGTTCTGCATCTGCTCAATCGGCACGTGCTTCACCAGACCGGAGACGACGGTGCGCGGACCGCCCTCCTCGCCGCAGTCAATCTGCTCGACGTAGAGCGAATCGGCGTCAGGATGCTTCTGCACGTCCACAATGCGCCCCACTCGCAGATCCAGGCGGCTGCCGTCAATGGCGCGCTCAGGCTCGGGCGCCGGCTTTGCCGGGGCAGCTGCCTTCGCCGGTTTCCCCTCCTGTTTAGGCTGCTTCTGTTTCTTCTCCTGCTGCTTGGGTGCCTGGTTTTCCTTGTTCTGAGGCTCCTTCGCAGGTGTGGGCTGCTTCTTTGCAGCAGCTGCTGTTGGCACGGGAGTTTCGGTGGGAGCTGTGTCTGAAGCGGCGACGGCGGCGGCCCCAGACGGTTGTGCGGGCTTGTTGCAGATGGGTCGCTTTGGCAGCAGACTCAACGGGGCGACCTGGTCGGCGCCCTTGACCGCCACTNAGGCGGCTGCCGTCAATGGCGCGCTCAGGCTCGGGCGCCGGCTTTGCCGGAGCAGCTGCCTTCGCTGGTTTCCCCTCCTGGCCACCCTGTTTAGGTTGCTTCTGTTTCTTCTCCTGCTGTTTGGGTGCCTGGTTTTCCTTGTTCTGAGGTTCCTTCGCAGGTGTGGGCTGCTTCTTTGCAGCAGCAGCAGCTGCTGATGGCACGGGAGTTTCGGTGGGAGCTGTGTCTGAAGCGGCGACGGCGGCGGCCGCAGACGGTTGAGCGGGCTTGTTGCAGATGGGTCGCTTTGGCAGCAGACTCAAGGGGGCGACCTGGTCGGCGCCCTTGACCGCCACCTCGAGGGCCGTCAACTGACGCACCAAACTGTCCACCTGCTTGCGAAGTTCAATGTTTTCGCTAGTCAGGCGAAGGCGTTCAGCCTCAATTTCCGGCTCAGTCAGAGCAGCAGCAGCCTTCTGGTCACCAGCCGCCAAGCCGGTGCTGCCTTGAACCAGCGTCTCCAGGGTCTTCACCCGCTCGAGGAGCACCTCGTGGTTGTTGTTGATCTGCTTCACGAGATCCATTAGTAATATTGTTGACGTCGGTGGGAGCAATGAGGTACTGTTAGTGAATGAAGAAGCAATTAACTGTCCGGGCGCAACAGGAGCAGACGATGGTGGCGGTGGTGTTGTTGTTTCTTTGGCAGCGACGACTGCGGCGGGTGATTCGGCAGCAAAGCGAGCGCAGATTCGGTTGAGGAGACTTCCTGCAGAGCTGTAGCTACTAGTACCGCGACGGACGAGAGAAGAAAGCTTCATCAACCAAGTGAAGGAACAAGCGGCGGCAGAGCATCAAAGACAACAAAACACTTTTGCAAAGTGATGCACTTTTTTTGTTTTGCAGACACGTTGTGCAGTCGTCTGAAGAGAAAACGTGGTCGAAAACGACGTTACGATCTGATCGTTTGTTTGAATGCCCGCCGATAGATGGACGCAACGCTGGTGCAGCCAATTTTGCTGCTCGGCGAAACGTTTTTCATCTTTCATCATTCTTTTTCGTAAATTCTTTTTGGCCGTTTCCTAAACCTGTTACCTCTTTGAAACCTCGTTGGAGGAATGTTCCAACGCATTCTGTTGGCGTTGTTTCTAGTCGGCAGTGTTTCGACTGGCACTGTCCCCAACAGCAAGGTAAGGAATCAAGGTTTGGAGATTGATGAAACTTCAGTATTTTTACTGTTTCTCGTTTTTTCCAGCCATGTGTCGAGTTTCAAGAGGCCCATCCGATGCAAGGCTTGACCATCAATGGCAGCACTCTCTACGCAATAGTCAATTTTCACGTCTACTCGCTTCCGCTAAGCTCTGAGAACGTTCTCTCTGGTGGCCGTTTTGCCCTCTTCAACATCACCCATGAGGGCTTATGGAGTGATTTGCCGTGGCTAAAGCTTCTGCTAAATAAGACCATGCAGCACTTTGGCGGCTGGGAGTCACTGCTTCAGCTGAACCTGATTCCGGCAGCAAAGTACGGCAGTTTTGTCAAGTTGATTCATGCCATCTACAAAAAGGCTCCTGGAGAACAGGGCAGTTTCTCCTTTGAGTTGCTGTCAGGCAATGTCACCGAAGCTCTAAAAGAGGTTGGCGATAAGACGCTTACTAAGCGCTATGCTTTCTTTAGTGATGGCGCAGGGCATGGATACGTTGTTTGGAATGACAGTGGACGCCAAGTTCCAGTGTTTAGACCTGGCCCATTTGCTAATGCTGGTAAGTATCTTTCAGAAAAAATTTGATTCCGTAAGTCTAACATGTTCTTTACAAAAAGACTTCTCTGCCACCTATGATGTTCTCTCTGCCCTTGACTATCCGTCGTACTTTGCAACCATTTCCAAGCCCGGTCACCTGACATTGAGCTCAACTTCTGACTCATCTTCATTTTCAAAGCTCAACCATCTTGTGTCCGAGCCAGAAAATGCATTTGGTTTTCTCTTTAATGGTACCTTTCACTACTGGGACCTAAACAAAAGGCAAGTGATTCTTTTTAAAGATCCACTGACTGCAGACAATCACACTGTCCGCTTCAAGACTGTGTCCATGTCAGAGTACTTTGTCTGCTCTCGTGAACAGTGGTCTACTGCCGTTCCGAGTGATGACTATGACATTGCTGATATAGCTGATACTGCCACCTCAGAAACTTCCACACTCTTTGCTTGGCTAGTCGTTGCAATTTTAATCATCGGCGTCTTCATTTTGCTCTTCACTTTTGTGATGTGGCGAATTTGTGCTAAAGAAAAACGGACCCTTAATATAAACAGACAAGAAAGTCGAAGTCCAAGAAGTCGGCTGTTTTTAAAGTCTTTAAAGCGAGCGCCAAGTTCAGGGAACAGCAAACTGATGTCATTATCTGCCGCATCTTTGCCATTGGCGCCGTCATCGTCCTCTCACATTGGAATACAGCAGCATCAAATCGGTTTAAAGTCAGTGAAAGTCAAACCAACTCGAGAACAAATGGCAGACTCCACGACACCCTCTACCTCTGCAACCAGTGCTTTTAGCGTTGACGATCTGCGCCGTTTGGACCATCAAGCGCCATATAAAATTGTTGTCGAAGGTGAAAAGAACGTCTACAATATGGACCTGAACAGTTCCTCAACTTTACCATCACAAACTCCTATTTTGACTCTCTCGGACGTGCTGAAAGCCCAATCATCGGCGGGTTTTAAACGCAAACACAACTCTCCAGACAAAGACTACCACACCAAGAATGAAAAATAGACAAACATCAACATTCCACATTATAGTTTCAACATTCTTTCTCCGATTTGAAACTGCCTTTGAGTGCAAAAGAAGAAAATCATCGTTTCATCGTCATACTCATATTTTTTTTAACCAACTCCAAGTTTTTACTATTTCCTTCGATTCTTCATAGACCACAAAGCAGTAGGAGATTTTCCATCGTTCTCAATCTCATTACATATTTGGGCGGAAGGCAATTGAATCACACTCGGTACAGCTCAGTTCACTTGTTCACCGCAATTGTCATTCAATTTTCCATGTCAATGTTATTCGCATTCTCTCTTATTCAATTCCAGACAATTCCCTCGAATCCCTATTCCCAAATTTACCCTTTCTTTTCCTTTTTTTCTATTTATAAACTTCATTCTTCTGAGAAATTTACATTTGAATT